CATAAATTTACAAAAAAACCATGTTTCAACTTTCCATTCACACCCTAAATTAACTAAAATAGTTATTTAAATGTCTAAAATTTTAAAACACTCATTCAGTCCCTAAAATGATGAAAACATTGCATCTCCACCCTCTACACCACCATAGTGCCGCTGTCGACGTTAAAGTGATGATTCCGGTCAATTCTCACCAAAATCGACCGGATTCATCACTTAATCATTTCCCAAATGTTTTCCCAGCCTTGATAACCCCCAATTTCTACGATTTTTGCTGATTTTCGCAACTCACTTTCATCTTCATCGCATGTGACAGCCATTTTGGCATGTATCCGTGTCGTTGACCTTTCAACACCACCATCCTGTCCCCTCAGCCCCCCTCAAACCACTCACTACCTATGTAAACCCCACTTGAGGTATGTATAAATTATTGTTGCATTGCTTTAATGTTTATTGATTTGTTCTCATTTGAGCTTGCATGTTGTTATTTTTGGTTGGTTGGCCCTTAGTTGAATTCTTTTAAAGTTATTTTGAGAAAAATGTGAAGAAAATCCCTTAAACTTCATTGGGGTAAAATGGTCTTTTCAATCAAAATTAGTTGAAAACATGGAGAGTGAAAGAGATAGAATTTCATGGAGAATGTAATAAAAATGAGGGCATTATTGTAATTAACTAGGGACATAGATAGAATTTTCAAGAAAGAGCAAGGGCAAAATGGGAAACTAATATATATTAAGAGTTCAAGAGTAGAAATCCTAGCCACTCTATCTCCATTCATGCTATTCTCTACTAAAATCTCTCAAATTTCTTCACTAGATTTCAAGGAAATTCATGAGATTTTGGGTATTTTGAGTGGATTTTCAATCCTAAGCATCCAAAGGTAGATTCTTGCATCAAAATGTGAGATTAAATTTTAAAGTTTTGAATTCTTATGGTTTTATATGCTTAGGGTTTAAGAGGAAAGGGAATTCTATCAAAGAGAGATTATAGTGTTGGAGTTGCTCAAATTCAAGGTAAGTAAATCCAACCAAGTTAAGATTTAAGAAAATCAAGTGAGTAGAGATTTCTTTTAATTAGTATGTGTTTGATTATTGAAAATTAGAGAGATGAGATGAATAGCTTATGTTGGTATATTTGAATTATGAGAAGTGCTTTTGATTGATGATGATGGGTTGAAGTTGATTGAAGTTGAAAGAAGTTTGAGTAAACTTTGGAGGGTTTTTCCTTGAAGGTTTGTGATGATACAAGGGAGCTTTACTCCCATTTTGGATGGTTAAAGAAGAAGAGAGTTATAGCTAAAGTAGAATTATGTTTGCACATTTATTGTTTTATGAAATGCCTAAGTGAAAACTGTCTGTCACAGCCGTGACTTTTTGAGTGATTTTGGGTATTTTACAGATTGAACTGGGTTGAGACCAAAACATAAAAGGTGTAGCCCTGTCTCTAAGCTTTAAAACGAGACCAAAATCGTAGCAATCCGATATGTATAACTAAGTTATGCCTTCTTGAGTGGGAACTGTGCAGAATAACTATCTTGATGCAACATTGCATTTATGCATTTCATGAGTATATTAATGAGCATGAATCATCCATATGCATTAATTATGCATTAGAGAAATAGTAGAAAAAGAGTAGAGAACTTTGAGTGTAAGCTTTATTAAGAGAAAAGAGAGAAAAAAAGAATATAGCAGGTTATGCGATGGGGACCCCGTGAGTAATGGGTAGAGTATTACCGCATGTACGCCGTATTGAGAAAGCGACATAAGTATGAGAGAGAGAAGCGGTGTAGCCCGTGAGAGTGCATGCGGATGGCCAAGGGTTCCGAATCCATGCATAATCGAATCCGATCGGCTAAGAATGAGTAGAAGTCACAGAGAGCAAGAGCGAGTCCGGGCCGTGTCCCCGGTAAAATGGGGTCGTGACTTACTAAAAAGAGTTAGTGGAAAAGAGTTCTAAGAAAGAGAAACACAGAGAGAGAAACAGAATGAGAAAACAGAGAAAAGTATAAAAGAGAGAGTAAATGAGAATTGTAAGGAAAGACATAGAGAGAGAGAGTTACGGGGATAGATGACTAGAGGGTTTACTTACTGAGCATTATTTTGTGCTCACCCCGTTGTTTCTCTTTGTGTTTGCAGGATCTAGGTGAGGACGCGGTTGGATGGGCGTCGACAAGCGAGGAGCAATAGCTACACTGTCCACTGTTTTTTGTTAACTTTTACAAATGATACCTTATTTTGTATAAAGAATGATTATATGTAAATAATTAAAAAAAAAAATTGGGCCCATTTACTTTTGCTAATATAAATGTATTTTACTTGATATATTTCTATGAGTATCCTAGTATGAAACAGTTATTACAACCTAATCCTAGTAGCCTGTCGGTCGTCGTCCACCTCTCACCCTCATAAGAAAGATTAGATAATTTAGCTATATTATCAATTGAAAAAGATTTAGTTTCTAAACTTGAATATAAAAATTTAATTAGTAATTTTGTATCTTAAAAGGGAAGAAAAATAAATTTTAAATAATTTTTTAATATATATTTATATTATTAAAAGAGTCTCAAAGTGACTCTTATCTAGAATCACGAATATTTTTGTGACGCCCTGGCTAAATGCCACCACTCTGCACTACCCCACTCTGAGTCAGTAGATAAAAGTAGGCCGGGAAGCGACTAACTTTGATTCCCTCATTAAATTAAACTTTCTTTTCCTCACGGTCTACTGGCGGTTGGTAGCCCTTTTGGCTTTTGAGATCTCTTTCTCTCTGACGCTTGGAAGTTTCCCACCAGAATAAGAAGAATATCATATGCGACCTCTGAGGTTTTGTAATTGGATAATAACTTTACACCCTCAAAGTTTGAAAATTATATCACTAATACCCTTTTGTCTTAATTCTATTATGTTGTCATCAGGGTTAGATAGGTAAATAATAATTTTTTGTCCTCTAAGAAAGTTTTTTATAAACCTAACGGCAATACAACAGAATCAGGGCAAATGAGTATCAGTAATAAAGTTTTCAATTATTTTTAATATCCATTTGATAAGGTAAAGGGGTAATGTGACTTTTTTTACTGCAATGTTTTTCAAGGAAAAATTAGATTAAAAAAAATGGGGATTTTTTTGGCATTTTTTGGCACTCTATCAAAATCATCACCCACTTATTTATTTAGCATTTTTTTTTTTTTGGGGGGGGGGGGGGAGTTGTTAATCTGGTGTCCGAGCAGCTTGCTCATACTTCAACAAATTTTCGGAGTTCATTAAACACCTTACAAATCCAAATAATCATATAGCTACAATATTTTATGGTAAGTAGCCCCAATGTTTGAATAGCGTAAAAGAAGTTCAATAAGATTTGATTGAAGTTGGTTAGAGTTTACGTGTTTTGCTAATTCAAATTGGTTGAGTTTGTATCATAAATGGAATTTAATAGCTTTTCAGAATGAAGTTTATTACCTTAAATTAAACATAATAATCATGAGTTACTGTATCCTAATTAATATCATTTAAAAGGAGTCGGTCTATATATCTTTGGCAACAAGGATTTGCTTGAATCGTAAGAATTGGTCCATAAAATTCAAGTATTTTATTTGACTTAAAACTTTAGACAATTAGACCAGTTGACTCATCCATGTGCTAATTCAGGGAAAATTCACTTATAAGTCTTACTTGTCTTATAATAAGTTATCTTTGGATAATTACTAATCAAAAATGGAATGGGAAATTTAGATGGCACGAAAAATATCATTGTCAACAAATAAAGAGAAAGACGCCACCAAAAAACCCACCAACTCCACCAACTTTACTTTGCCAAATGCCAACTACAGACTAATAGTAATAGGCCCCATCCCCCCACTACTTTCATTCCAACCTTCCTACTAACTATTATACTTCCTCTTTATTTTCATATTTTACCAACTTTATGTTTTTACGTGTTAGATAATATACAATGGATATCATGATTAATATGTTGAAATATAAATCACACCACATAAAGATATATATATATATATATTAAATATTACTCAAATTTATATTCCATTTCTGATTCCGACATCGTTGTGACCCTACACCATCTATCATTTTTTTTCCCCAACTATCATTCACCGACATCTTTCAAATTCTACTGTCGTCAATCTTGCTAATCACCGACAATCGAGCGATTAGGGTTTATACAATCGTTACTTCCAAGTCAAATTCTAATCAATCCCTACCACTAAAATCCAATCTTTCACCATTAAAAGGCTCATCGGCCTTCCTCTTTAAAAGTCTTAACAGCTTGGACTAAGTTTGCTCTTTGTTCGCCATTGGAGTATATATTTGGGTAATAAAGTAATATTTTAAAAGTTTGTGGGTGAGAAAATATCATTAAGCCATTATTTGCTTGGAAAAGTCGTTAACTCATACTTAAATCCGTGTTTAACCAACATTTTTACATCACGTACCTACCTAGTGTGACCCAATCATTCTCTCTTAATTTCAAATGTTCTTACAATTCTATTTATAAGTGATAATATTTTATTCCTATTGATGATTCATTCATATCCCAACATTTGGTTGACATATTTCTTAAAAAAGAGAAAATATTTTCCAAGATAAAATAACATTTGTTAAGATTTATAGTCATTTAGTTTTGGAATTTACCATAATAATGACAGTCAAGTTAAAACTTATTGAAAAAGATTGGCGTCAAATATGCTCCATATGAAGTAATAAGTAGAAAGGAAATTGTCAATTCTTAAGTGGGTCATGGCATGCCACGAGTGGTTCTCACATGGGATGCCCAATTGAGACTCATGCTATCTCAGGACTTCACCAACCCCCGACCCGGTTCCCCATCCGGTCCAACCAACCCCAACGGGTTCAATCCCACTCTCACTTCCCATATATACCCCTTTACTTTCTCATTCCACTCAGCTCAACTCTCAACTCTCAACTCCAACATCAAAACCATCAACCAAAAAAGAAGAGAAAAAAAAAAAAAAAAACCTTAATTTTCCATCAATGGCCACCAATGGAGATGAGCAACAGAGCCGGCACCAGGAGGTTGGCCATAAAAGCCTTCTGCAAAGCGATGCTCTCTATCAGTATATACTCGAGACTAGCGTGTACCCCAGAGAGCCTGAGCCCATGAAGGAGCTCAGGGAGATAACTGCAAAACATCCATGGTGGAATTTCTTTCCAGGAATGTTCCTGGATTTTTTTTTTTTCTTTCTCTTTTTCTCTCTAATTTTTGTTCCTCTGTATTTTACTCATCCTGGAATGGTGAAACAGGAACATCATGACAACATCCGCCGATGAAGGACAATTCCTGAACATGCTTCTCAAGCTCATCAATGCCAAGAACACCATGGAGATTGGCGTCTACACCGGCTACTCTCTCTTGGCCACCGCTCTTGCTCTTCCTGACGACGGAAAGGTTAATTTTTTTTTTTTCTCGTGATTCACTATAAATAAAGCATCCCAACAAGGGATATTATATTAAATTAAATTAATAATTCTGTGTGGTTTTTTTTTTTGTTTTTTTTTTGTACTGTTGCAGATTTTGGCCATGGACATCAACAGGGAAAACTACGAGTTGGGTCTGCCTGTAATTGAAAAAGCTGGAGTTGCACACAAGATTGATTTCCGAGAAGGCCCTGCCTTGCCCGTTCTTGACCAAATGATCGAAGATGTAAATTTCACTAACCCAAAAATGTTTTTCATGTTTCTACTTTCTGTTTTCATTAACTGAAGTTATTGGGTGTGGTGAACCTCAGGGGAAGTACCATGGAACGTTTGATTTCATATTCGTGGACGCTGATAAGGACAACTACATGAACTACCACAAGAGGTTGATTGAGCTGGTGAAGGTTGGGGGAGTGATAGGGTACGACAACACCCTATGGAACGGATCAGTGGTGGCACCACCTGATGCTCCTCTTAGAAAGTACGTTAGGTATTACAGGGACTTTGTTCTGGAGCTCAACAAGGCCCTCGCTGCTGACCCTAGGATTGAAATCTGTATGCTTCCTGTTGGTGATGGAATCACTATTTGCCGTCGGATCAAGTGATTGCCTATACTAATTTGTCGAGGTTTACAGCAGGTGATTCATACCTCAAAGATGAAGTGATATGTAATTTTTTTCCCCCTCTTTTTATATTTTCCTCTGAAAATAATTGTGTATTTTCTTATGAATGAATGATATATCATCGAGCTATCTTGTATCCAACGGTTCCGATTTATTGTGGAATTAAAAAAGTATTTTATTTCAAGCAAGCATGTTTTAATAATTAAAAAAAAAATTTAATTACTTGTAGAAATGAAATAAAAAAACAAAATATTTTCTTGCTTAATTAAGTTTGAAAATGATGGAGGGTTTGGTTTGGTTAATTTTGTGGTTGGTGAGATGGGACACATTAACCTTCCTTTGATAGTCACATTTTCAAGCACCAAAGATAAATATGATAGCATTACTCGATATGATTATACTATTTATCATCAATAATATCATACTTATGAAAAAAACTTTACAAAGATTTTTATACAAAATAAACTTTATAAAGATTTTTATACAAAATGATGTAATAAAAAAAAAATGAAATAAAAAGTCAAACTTATTATATTTATTCTTCCATTCGTCTTTTGTCACATCACTTTGTATGGAAATCTTTGTAAGTATAGCATTACTCATTTATTATTTAATATAATAAAGATTGGTTCACAACACAATCTTACAAACTTTCTCTTACAACCTCGATGTGGCAGTTTACGATTGGGCAAAACCCATTATGAGTTGACTAATTACGAGTTGTCATATCTGGATTATGAGAAAGTCTGTGAAATTGGGTTATAAGTATAGTATTACCCTATTTAATAATACTCATACCCATTAAAATTAGAAAAAAAAAAAAAAAAAAACATCATATAATACTTTTGAAAAAACAAAATTAATGTATTACCTTTGTCTAACACGATTAAAAACTCCGTGACTTCTACATCTAAAGATTTTATATACATATATCATGAAAAAAAAAAATGAGTGTTTAGTTGTTGAATTTTTTTTTTTTTTTTAGATAATCGAGGTTTTTTGGCAGTTTGAGTGCATCTCAACTGATTCTCGAGGTCATTGAACACTCTACAAGTCTAATATCCCAAATAAGTTACAAATGTAGTAGATGACCCTAATGTGATTTAAACCAGAAAATCAATTAAAACAAGTAAACCTTCTTGACCACTAGATCTACTCCTTTGAGATTAGAGTGGCTAGTTTATAATTTTAAGGTTTGTGAAATTAGCTACCAAACCCTCAGTTTTATTCGTACCGTACGTTCCAAATTTCAGAAGGTTACCAAAATCAAGTCATGCTAACATTCATATGTACAATAGTAATTTAATTATCTAAGTATGTTTAAATATTAATTTAGATATTTATTGATATGGAATTAAGAGGAATATTGTGCATAAAACAAAGTGTAGGAGACGAAAGATGATTGTGCGGTTTGAATGTTGATGATGACACCTCTTACTACTCACCCACTTTACCAAACTTATCTACTCCTATATTTTCATATATATTTTAGGTGGAAATTTGGTCACCACCCAAACTAATTACTTGTAATTTTTTTTATTCATTTCAAGAAGGAGAATGTCAATGCCTAATTAGATATTATTCATTGACTCGGTTAGTAATATATAGAAACATGCATCAACTTTCATTTATTTAAAGTTGAACCAATATCTTGTGTAGCATATTAAACAAAATACAATTCTAAATCATTCAACACTAACAAGTAAAATGTTATAAGCGATGGTCTCGTACTAGTCATTATCGTATCTACATTGATCCCCCTATAATTTGATGTAAGAATAAAAATTTTAATACGTTTTTGAAATAATAAATGTCTTTATATTATTAGTGAATCATTAGAACTTATACTATGATTAATTAATGATAATTTATCAAATTATATTCATATTATTAATTTTAATGTCTAAAACTTTTAGTTGATATTATAAAAGTCTAGAACATCTCCAAATGACTCTTTATATGATCCAAACTCTTTTATTATAAAGAGTTTATTCATAAAAACAAGATTCAAACTGACTCTTTATCCTTTAAATATAAATTAAATAGTGAGTTTAACTTTCCACATTTAAAGAGTCAAATTCGCTTTCTATCCTAATTTTAATTAATAAATTACAATTTTAAGCCTTCTTTCTTGAAAATAAAGAGCATCTTTATTAAATTTAAAGAGTCCATTAGATTTGAATAAAAAAATTATTTTTTATATTTAAAAATTAATAAAGGTGCTATTTATTTATATGAAATATACTCTTTAAAATAAAAAGTATCATTGAAGATGCTCTTATAAGGATTTTTGTTATTTAATAAATAGAAGCTATAATTTTAAGGATTAATGGCAAACACAGTGGGAACGGTATGGTCCCTCTTTACTCTTTAGTTTCTATGTGCGTGATGCCCATGATTACGACATATAAAATGGTTAGTAAAAAAAAACTCATTTTAGCCTAGTTATAATTTTATAACAAAAATTCTATGTAGTTATAGAAATAACAAAAAAATTTCTACTGTTAATATTTTGGGGTTGTTAGAGTGACAATTAGGTGGATGTTCATTAACTCTATTACATTATAAATTATGACAAGAGAATTTATATTATTTTTAAAATCTTGAGGTACTTCTCGTATTTGATTAAACGTCATACGTAGGAGAAACAACCCCCCAACACCCCACCCAGGTGCGTAAAACCCAATCAAAAGCCAATGATTGATGTTGAAGTTGAAGAGTTGTCCACATTTCTTTGTATCAGATTTGTTGGAGGTTCACATTCTGAAAACAGTCTTCATTTAATTAGGGTCCATAAATGTGGGTTTTCCATACTTGCAATTAGATCACTTGGTCTATACTTGCATTCTGTATCTGCCAAACTTCTAGTTAGATTCAGATTAAAGCGTCAAAGATTTCTAATAAAACATTGAATAAAGTACGAAAGGATTCACTTTGAGCACTGGATTTGAATTAATTGGATATCAAAAGATGAAGAAAAATTTATTGATCTTCTAACCACGTTGTGAAATGTTTTTTTTTTTTTTTTTTTAGGTATATGAGTTATTCTGACTCACATTAGAGTCTGTCTAATCCTTAGAACCACAGAACATCTTACAAGCTCAATAGATCAAGGTAATGCACAAATGAGATAAATACCTTTCATGTGACTCAAACACAATATCTATTGCGTATAACTAACTCTAATGGCTAAAGGGTTTGCTATTCGACTACAAGAGGAGAGGACGCTGAGAAAATTTTAGTACATCCCAAATCTTATTCTAGTTCATAGGAATCCCAAATTCAACTCACTCATTCCCACTTATTGCGGTTTATAAGAATTCAAGTAACACTATTCATTCCAAACATATATCCCCAAATTTATTGAGGAAATTTAACTCCCCAGATATACCAAGTTTGGATTTAAAAAAATAACCCTGAAAATCGAAGGTTTTTTTTTTTTTTTTTTTTTTTAAATCTGACGTGGCACATGTAATTGTAACTAAACATGCAAAAAGGGGCTAGAGTGAAAAGATTGAAATGTATATAGGTAATAGTATAATTAATGGAAATTTGTTTAAATTTTGAAAATTAAAAAATGACCCCCTCCCTTCAAAATCGCTTAATCAAGCAATATACCCAAAAAACAATCGACAAAACACCTTCCATTTCTCTGCAATTTTTGGCAATAAAAGTTCCTTATTTCAGGCCAATATTTGATCCTAAAGCTTCGTTACACAAAATCATGGCTGATATTCACAAAAAGGAGGAAAACCCAACCCCACTCCAAATCCTAGACTCCAGCGGCGACAGTTGTTCAAAGGTTGTCGAAAAAGATGCTCTGGTGGATCATCTGATGAGTAAAGGTGGTCCAGAGGCAAATGAGACAATTGTGGCACAAGAACAAAGAGGAGAATCGAAAAACGGTTCTAAAGAGGAGGACGCTAGCGAGAATTCAAGCGAGGAGGAGGACGCTAGCGAGAATTCAAGCGAGGAGGAGGACGCCTGTGAAGAAAAGGTACGTTTTTTAGTGGTGGTTTTTAATTTGATGAAAAAATTGATTGGTTTGTGCGAATTTGGTGGATATGTAGTTGGCTTTGATTGGTAGGTGGTTATGGCATTTTGTCGAGCAGTTGGCGGGCATCGAGGGAGTGGCTTTGTTTGGGTTCCAAAGGATGGGGGAAGTTAAAGGAGGATAGGGAGATTGTTTGTGGGAGGTTGAAGGGTTGGCGGTAGTAGGAGGTAGCAGAATAGGGGGGCTGAAGGGTTGCCTTGCATATTGCAAGGCTGGCCACGCACAGTTGCACGCATGCAGGTGTGTGCGCGCAGCTGCATGCATGTGCGTGGCCAGCCCTGCAATATGCAGGACAACCCTACATCCCCCGTATTCCGCCACCTCCTGCCATCCTCAGCCATCTCCAGTCAAGGAACCTGCCACAATAGCCTCTGTAGGGCCTGCATTGGCTTCCCCGGTCCTCCTAAAGTCAAAAACACCCACTCTCTGATGCCCCGAAACCCTTATCCCCCAAATTGGTAGCTATTGTTGTTTTGGTTTCTTTTTTTGCTTATATTTTGTTTATATCGATTGTGCAAATTTTTTGAAGCATAAATTATAAAGACTATGGTTTGGAGGTTATAAGATATAAGATACTGTACTTCCCCCTAAGGGTGACAGTTAGGTCGAGTTGGCAAGTTTTAATGAGAATAAAAGAGATTTTAGAGGAACAAAGGAAGGGTATGGGCCAATTCAAAGATAGTTGTTTCAGTCATTTTGTGGACATTGGAGAAATTTGTAAGAAGATATTCTAGGGGTAGGGAGTGCATTATATGTTGCTACACTCAGTAAAAGGCAAAAAAAAAAAAAAAAATGAAATGTGGTTCGTAGTGGATGGGAAGCCACTACGTTTTGGAATGATGGAATATGCCCTGATGACAGGCTTAAGATGTGGGGCATTTCTAGATGCGGAAGAGCAAGAGAGAATAACGAATAGTAGGGCAACCGATAACCTAGCTAAAAAGTTTTTGGGGGAGAAGGCGTCTATATGGGACGCAATTTAGAGGAGAGGTTAGGAGAAGATGGGTATACCTCTTCAGAAAAGTTCAAGATGTGCCTGATATGGTTTGTGCTTTTTATCCTAATGGCTTCTAACTCAACAAAAGTC